GTTATTTATATCTTTATATATATAATTCCTCTTTTTGTGTGTGTTCATGTGAATTCAAGGATGGTTTAGATTCACAATTTGGTCCACTGGATAACGTTTTTTTAATTATTATACAGTTTTTTGGTATCCATATACATTTATATTAGACATTTAAAAGTTATTCATGCTTACTTTGATTTGTTTAAAAAGTTTAAACTCTAAAATGAATCGTTCAACTATCCTGTTGAATTTTTGAATTCGCTGGAGTTTCCAGGAATACCACCACATAACTTAAGATTAAAAATTGGCTCACCTATAATTATACTGCGGAATTTAAATGCATTTAAGCTATGCAACATCAGTTTTACAATTCATTTTAGAGATTTTAAAGTTTTTAAATAAATCAAAGTAAGCATGCATAAATTTTAAATTTTTAATATAAATGTATATGGATACCAAAAAATAAAAAATTGATTAAAAAGACATTATCCAGTGGGCCAAATTGTAAATCTAAACCTTCCTTGAATCCACTTGAACACACACAAAAAATTTCATCAAAATCGGTTCAGCCGTTTAGGAGGAGTTCACTGTCAACACACGTACAGAAGAAATATATATATAAGATTTACATATATATCTAGATATCTATAAATTACGTAACTGGTTCATGTGCCGGATTACGTAAGTGAATTACTAAGCTGGTTAAAGTGCCGGATTAGTGAATCCGTATCAGACTAGATACGGAGGATAACATATCGTGAAAAGCTAAGCTGGTTCAAGTGCCGGATTAGCTTCAGTCCGTATCAAACTAGGTACGGATCATAACAACAGGCATGAGCGAGCGTTTGGAAAATGATGAACTTCTCCAGGCAATAAGAAATCAAAACAATATGGAGTTTAAGTATATAAAAATCTTGAAAATCTATGAGTTCGTCAAAAACAAAAACATCTTTAATGCTTTAGTTGAATTAGATGGTATAGCCTTCAAGCGAGTTATGAGCGTTCGTAGGGTAAGTATTGGTTGGGAACGATGCATAGTATACGAAAACTTGAATGTAATGCGATGCTACAAATGTTGGGGTTTTAACCATAAAGCGACTGTTAGTAAGGAAAGTGAACATGTATGTGCAAAATGCGGTAAAGTTGAACACATATACAAAGAATGTAAGAACAGCTTCAACAGATGTGTGAACTGTGCCAAAGCCAAAAAAAATCTACATCTGAAAGATCTCAACATAGACCATGATTCCAGGGATCTGGAAGCTGAAAGAACTGATTATCAACTTTGATGGACCACAAAACCTTGATAAATATATTTAGTAAACTAAATTGCGGTCTAAATATGGTACATTTTAATGCTAGAAACCTAACTGATCTAAAATTTGACTACATTAAGACTGTTTTTGAAAACTCTGATGTTGATGTCATATGCGTGTCGAAAACTTGATTTAATAGTGACATCAGTAGTTTATATCTTTCACTGAACATTTATATTTTATACCGCCATGATAGGAAGCAAAAGAAAGGAGGTGAGGTTGCAATTTATTACAAGTCTTATTTGAAAAGTAATTTGGTATGTGTGTCTGGTGTCTGGTGAGTCTGACATTGAATTCGTTATCATAAGCATCAATGTTGGTTTTCATAAAATGTTGGTGGGGTGTGTGTATAATTCACACAATCGCTTCAGTTGCGATCCCTTTTCTGATTCACTGCAAACTATCGCGCTTAATTTCGGCTTCCTAGCAGTCCTTGGTGATTTTAATAATGATCTTCTCTCAAACTGTGGTAACGTTTCCCGTTTAAATGATCTTATTGCTGTGTCGGGCTTAAGTATCGTTAATAGTAACATTCCTACTAGATATGCCAATAATGTTAAGCCTAGTTTTCTGGACATAATTACAGTTTCTGATTTAAGGAAAATATTGCTGTTTGATCAGACTTCATTTGTTTCAGATCATGACCTACTATTTATTACGCTAGACTTTAAAAAAACTAAAAACTCTATCTCAAATAGATTTTCTTTTTGGAATTATAAATCAATTGATTCAGTGAGGAATTATAAATCAATTGATTCAGTGAGGTTGGTATGTTATTTCAGCTGATCAAAAGTTAGATGTATTTAATAGGAAATTGCTTAGCCTTCGTCACATTTTCATACTATTGCCATCAATAATGTTTCTTGCCCATGGTTCAGTACTAGAATAAAACGTTTTATAAATTTAAGAAATAGAAAATATGCAGTTTGGAAAAAGGCTGCAAAAAATACAAATGAATGTGTCCAAACTCCATGAAAGTGCTTAATTCAGTTAAAATAATAGCATATATATCATATTTATTTTCTTATTAAAGATAAGGTTGCAACATCATCTATAGATCATCAGTTAAATTCCTAGACGGTTTGATTTAACTACAGTGCAATCAGCTAGAAAGTGATTTATTATTATAAATATATTTAATATATATATGCACATATATTAAAATAATTATATATGTAATTATTCAAACAACAAAACGCAATGTTTCTTGATATTTTTATTAAACTTCAAACTTTTATTAAACAAAGACCTACTTTAGTCAAAAATAAAATGCAGTCTTTATGAATTTATGTTTTACCTTAACTTTGCAAACTTATCAAACTTATTAAACTTCTATTTTTCTTCTTCTCTCCTTTTATATCTTTCTTTTCTTCTTAACTAGCTTTCATTTCAATCTTTGCTCTCATATCAATCTGTGCTTTTATTTCACTGCCTTATCTCCCCTACCAGGTAGGTAGGTCCTCTACCACACTACTTTATCTATATATATATAATAATATATAAAATGCACGTTTTATTTATTATTTCTCAAATCAAGAACTAGTTAATACATTACTGCTGCAGTGTACAGTGCGGGTACAATTTACACCATTCGACGCATTATGAACTAGTACAAAGACCAGTTCCGAGGTATATCATACGGGGACAATTCACACCGGCAATGACAACTCAATGTGAAATCCACCAGTTGAGCCCACGTAAAGTGGATTATGAAGCGACTAGTACAATTCACCTTGGAACTATTGAATTCACTAGTTCAGAACTAGTCACAGACCCTCCTGGGATTCATGTCAAAATTTGAAAAAGCTACACAGACTTTATGTTACTTATACATTTTATTTCAAGTAAAATTTGTGTTGATGTGTGAATCAGCTGTTTTGGTTTGAACTTAAATTTTTGTATGGTTTATTTGCGCGCCACTGGTGGTCTCGCCAAATTTTACTCGAAGCTGTTCAATGAAACTCTGTGTAAGGAACGTAATTTGGCACTTTATTTGTGTTACGCTCTTTGTTTGTACTTTACTTGTGTTTTACTTGAGTTTTACTACAAGTAGCTCGTGGAACAGACCTACGAACACGGTAACAAAATAAAATAAAAAAAGAGACAGCAAATATGAATCACATATAATAAAATAAAATTTAAATTTAAATTTAATTATACACAATTAGAAATTAAATATTTCACAATAATATTTTCACATTAACCGCTTTAATTGCGTGTTGCATTGGTTGCAAAAAATTTAAAATGCTTTATTGTAGTCTTAAAAATGAGTAGATATTAATGTTGTGTGGTTATAGAATATTTTGCATTCACGAAATTCAAAATATGTTCATTATCATTATTCAATTACAATTTTAAATAAATGTATGTATGTACCTGAAAAAGTTAATTCTTGATGTCTAATAAATTACTGTAAAATTACGTATTTTATTCACATAACTTATTACTATATAACAATTTGTAGTATTGTATCTTAAGTGGACAACCAAGAATAATCAGATATAACAGTACCGGAACGAGTGAAAGTCGGCAAGAAATTTCGCCAGATAAACAATTATATAAATTTAGATACATTAGAAACGTTTTTATTAAAAACCATTTTAGTAGATGTATTGATTTATTTAAATTATATACCACAATTTAAAGTATATATCCATAATATGTGTATTTATTTATTAATAGTTTAAAAGTACAGAGCATTCTATTAGAATTGTTATGTTGGAATTATTGTTATTAATAATAATAGCATTAGTTTCTTTGTATTTATATACATTTTTATATTCCACATTCTATGAATATGTATTTTATTGTATTTTATCTATATTTATATTGTTATATTATAAATAAATGCTTCATATATGTATTTTGGCTTAAAACTATACAAAAATTAACATTGAGAATTAAAATGTGTCAAAGGCCACTACTATTACACTACTAAAGTACTAAAGTACAAAAGTAGCACTACTAAAGTAGTGTAATACTCCATAACATAGGACTTTGAGTTGAAGTCTGATTATGATCCGTGAAAATTGTACAATTTGCGAGTTTTAATAATAAAAACTATTACATTTGTTTTAACGTACCATGTTTCTAAATTAGTATTAACTCTCAATTGGTAAACTTAACATATGACGTATACATATCCGATTGGAAAGTCTGGATTCAATCAAGATTTACTCTAGATCTGTCAAATGTTGTTCAATCGAACATTTTTAAGGTATTCTAACATTTTTTTAAGTAGTGTTAGTAGACATTTTTATTTTTCATAAATACATATATCGATCACATCATACATTATTTGTCAAGTCACATTAAACAGCTGTTAATTTCGGGGTAATCGTGCTACTCTGGCAAAATATCTAGACTGTCATATTCGAGTTAATCTCGAGTGCTGCGCATTAATCTCGAGTGTTATGCAGATTAACTAATCAAAAATGAAAATTAAACCTTAAACCAAGAGTGAATCTCGATTAAAAAAGTAACACCAGATTTACCAATTGAAGCGCCATTACAATAAATTTTTTTATGATTTATATTTATTGAACACTATTAAAAAGCGTTCAAATATTTATAATACAGTATTAATTTTAATACATACGTACAAATAATATATAAATTTATTTGTGTTTTGCTTATGTTTCACATATTCATTTGTGTAAATAATGTCATTTGTGTAATCTTGATTCAGCAATGTGCACTTTCTTGTTTTTGCGTTTTCCATCACTGCATCACAGGTAAATGTCAACTATAGTTCAGCAATTTGCTGCAAAGCGTCAGGCAAAGACGCTTTATAAGAGCTGTGTAGGAACTCAATTTGCTGTAACATAGTTTATTATTATTTGAAGTGAAAGTATTAGAAATTATCACAAATAGGAATAAATTGCAATACTTTGTCGGTCGAAAGTTCGGTTCGAAAGTTAGCTGTCGTGTACGATCACGGACATAAAGTTTATAACAAAAGCACGGAATGAGGAGGCTTGGGCTGCAATAGCAGTTGAATTCTAAGAAACGGGTATGGATTTCTTATTAGTAATTAAGCAATAATTGTGGTTGGTTACTGGTCTTCAATACTATGCAATAAGTGTATGCGTTCATGAATAAAAAACCTTCAAAAAACAATATTTTACATGGATTGTTTGTTCAAGACAGGATGCTTTCTAAAAAAATGAAAAAATGAAAAATATTTATTGCAAATGTTTAAATGGAAAAACGCATCAGCAGTTGGTGGTTTTCAAACCAACACCTTTGAAATTAAAGTTTATTTTTATTGTTTTTGAAATGCAAAAATCCTTTGATATAAGTGAAGAACATAAACATGAGGTAAGTTAAAAATTAAATTGCATATTTATAAGTTTGTGAAACTATATTTGGAGATTGCTTGATCCCCGATTTAATTAGATTTAAAATTGCAAACTTTTCACATGACAATCACAAACACAAACACAATCTCAATCAAACAATAACTTGTGATAGCTAATTGATTATTTATATAGTTTATTAGTATACCTCCGATAATTAATTGTGTTCACGCAGAATTAAAAAAAAACAAATTTACTTTGAGAAAATATTGACACAGTCAGCGTTTCAAAAGTTATACTTAAGACAAAATACATATTTTTCATAATGAGTTGATACTAATTTTTGTTTGATAATATCTGTCAATTTGCAGAGCATAGGAGTAAGAAGATTTAAAGTTACCTCTGTAACAATATTGGTCTTTCTTCTTTCAAGCAATTGAAGGCTTGCTTGTCTATTGTCTATATCATAATTTCTTTTAACAAATTCAATAAATGCACAATCGGATCCTTGTCTGATGATTGGATGAACGGTTTGCAGTTCTCAAAACGTGTTCTGCGGCACCCACTCTTTCACGACCATTGTAGTATATTTGGGGTGTTAATGGTAATAAATTTAGATCAAAATGTTAAGTTCGTTCAGTATTTTCGTTCTGGTTTACTTCAAAAATTTTAAATAAACTTTCGTTTCCATAATTCTAACAACATAACAGGATGCCGCCAATGAAACTTATATATAAATTATTAATTTAATTTGTTTAATATGTTATTTTGTTAATGAATTGTTAATATAATACTGCGAATATATTGTTGCCTAATAAAATATAGTTATTATTAATAAAACATCTCATATACGTTCATTTAAGTGGTACATGTAAAAACAACTTTATAGAAGGGCCGCACACCCTTCCAGATAGGGCACGCGTCGCCACTGCGCTGAAGTATGTGTGTCCGATTCGCCACATGTATATCTACATTATGTTTTCGCGTTTATATAAAACAACAAGAGCTTTAAACAAAAACGAACAATTATTATATATATTTAGCATGATTAAAACAATCAATAATTAGAAACAATTCTTTGGTATTCCATACATATTTTACACTATTTTTAAGCTCAATATATCCGTTCAATAATTAAAAATTCGATCATTTATGACCGATTTGAATCTGATAAAGGTTTTTCTTATAGAGTTCCCTACTAATTAAATTTAATGTTTAATTATCCCACTTTCAAATGACTTTGATAAGTGTTGACCAGATATTTAGAATATCTGGCAATATCTAGCAATATCTAGCAACATCTGGCAATATCTATCAATATCTGTCAATATCTGGTAACCATAGTAAGACATTTGAGTGAAATTTTTTGCGAGCTCAGCGTCATTGCGGAAGTGGACATGTTTTATAAATATTCTTAATTGGATATAATTGGAATATTAGCAAATTTAAAATGGATAACACAATAAAAATAAATCCAACAAGCATAATTCAAATTGGAGACTTCAAAAATCCAAAATTCTCCGGTTGTGTTTACAAGAAATATTGGGGTAGAAAGGAGTATTTGAATTGTGAAAATTGGACTTCTGCTTGCAGAAAATATAAATGGATTGCAAGAGATGAAGAAAAAGGTTACTATTGTGTATGTTGTGATGTAAAAATTTGTCTAAAAAGGCTTAAACGCCACAGCAAATCAATTTTACATAAGGAATTTTCATCATATCAATTGGAGTTTATGGAATATAAAGAACTAAATAAGTAAATTAATTATTTGTTAAAACAATCATATATTTTAACTATATGGGATTTTTTTTATAGCTCAAATATGCACTTAAAGAGAGAAATTGAATCTAATGATGAAGCCTCTAATAAAATGAGAAATGAGTTGTTTAATTTTAATGAGTTTCTAGATTTCATTTGGTATCAGTGGTTAAAAAGTTATTACTGGCTCGAACGGGGTGAAGGAACAATTGGTATGTGCAAGTTTTGCTTAATTAAAATAAATTGCAAGTATATTCACTTGCGAGAACGCCACCAAAGATCCCAAGCACACAAAGACGCAGTTAAATTGAATGGATCGGGAGAGGAGAATGGCGTCTTTACTATGTAATAATTTAACTTTTTTAACAAATCCACTTTTGAATACTAACTAAATTTTAGGAATAATTGGTTGTTAACTCTAACTAATTTTAAAGAACAGAGCTATTGTGTGCTCTGTGATATTTACATAAAATCAATTTATTTTAAACATCACACTAGAGGATGTAATCATACGAAATTTCTAACATTAATACACAAGGATCAATCGATAGTAAAGTACGTGTTTCAATAGTATAAGTCATTCCTTTTAAAATAATATTTTTCCACAATTTTAGTGAAACTGCAGAAAAAATAAAGAATGAGACTTTGTTCATAATTAATAGTAAAACTTATTCGTGTATTAGTGACGAGTTACGAAAGAAGTATGATTGGGTTTCTTATGACGGTCAAAATGCATTGATGGCATTTTGCAAAGTTTGTAATAAGAATATTACTCTCCCTTGGTCTGAAACTAAGTTGAAGTTACATGAAAAAATTGCTCATGGAGAATACAGAACGAACATATATAAAAATTACGTGGAAAGGTAAGATGTTAGCATGTTTTTCTAGCATACTTTGTATTTTATATGATATTAACTTAGAGTAAGGCAAATTGCATTAATTTAATTAATTGAATAAACTCTTTTGTATTTAGTTCTCAAAGAATTGAGGAATGCGAAGAGAATGTGTACCAAACAAAACGTGTGCATCGTACAAAAAAAAATATGAACACTAAACGTGCAAAATACGCTGAAGACACGCAATCAAACAAAGATGAAGACGAATCAGAATCGGATACACTCGTATCAACTAGAAATACATATGACTTATTTTTTAGAAGTGTAAGCGAAACTGTCAAAAGGCTACCCAGATATTTGGCAGTGGAAGCTAAACTGACCGTCTCGAATATCATCTATGATCTCGAGATGCGTGCAATGAGGCGGTTATAGTCATTTTTATTTATATAATATAAGTCAACACCTTGACTATGCAGGTGTTGACTTATCCACAATTTGTGTTAATATATAAATCAGATGTTCCGTTTTGAAATTGAATTCAATAACTATTAAATTAATTAATTACTTAATAAAGTAAGAATGTTTAAAACTTTTCCATATCTTTAACGTGAACTTGTAATTTTAATTGTTTTGTTTATGAAAAGCTTGAAATGGAATTTAGTGTAATATGACATCTCATTTGATTGGTGCTTCAGTTAATACGTTATTTGGATTTTACTCAAGTTCTACTTGAGGTAACCCATGGAACAGATCTGATCTGAACTATTGATAAAACTTTATGTAAGTTGAACTAAATTGAACTGAAAATATGTTTTCAAAGAATTTTTTGCCACTGTATTTATGTCCGTAACATAGTCAATTAGTCGAAGGATTTTTGAGTATTTGATTTTATATTTTGATACATTAAGTGTAAAGGATGCGTGCAAAATATTTACAATTCACAAAATAATGAAATAACATTTCTCAGTTAATAATATGAAATATCAAATTTGCTTTTTAAAGCTAGCCATATTACTAATAACCGTTATGTGCGAAAAATTAATAAAACTCCAATAATAAAGATGTTTTGAAAAACTTTAACATTGTAGAAAGCTTTTTTATATGGAGTTTTATGTTGATTTTTCGTAAGATATGGTTGTTAGTACTAGGCTCAACCTACACAAATATCTTGTCATAAAATAAATGTTTGTGCATGTTTTCTATATGTTGTGTCTGCCTGTTGGTACATTGACGCTTTCAGAAGTCGCTCATGCCACTATGGCTAGCCCGGTATGCTCGCCGATTTTGGGATGGGGTTCTTGGTAACTGAGAAAATTCTAAAGATAACAATCAAAAAAAGAATTTTCGTGCCATTAAAAATTTTTACACACATGCACAGGAATAATTAGATCAAACAGAGAATATGACACCTTTACCATTCTTTATCCATAAATTACTTTCATTTCGCCCCAGTATTTCTACATGTCCTTCAGTCTTGTCTAATTCATTATATGAATAATTTGTTTAACGCATTTCAACTCTACCTCTACGCACATTCATAATAAACCCCTGTAACCCTATTAGAGCCTACAATTGTTTTTAGCCGGACATTTTGGCGATTTAACGAACAGCCAACTCAACGAACCAAAATTTGTTTCAATTCCTCATAAATTAACACTATAAGTCTTTCTTTTTTTACCAGTTTTATTTCTAATTTAGAATAACATATTATGAATAAAATTGTTAATTAAACGATATTAAAAAATTATGATATAACAATTACAAACACACAGTATATAATGTAAAAGCACACCGCCACCACCATGTTTATCTGTAGCAATTGTATTTGTTTTTATTTACTTAAATAGTTGGTTATCTTCACACGTGGATTTGACCATCTTGACAATCACTGTATTATATTAGAAAAAAAACATGGATTTAACATGGAGCAGTGAGTTCTGGCTGAGTAATGTTTTATACTTTTAACATTCTAATTTAATGTTTCTTACGGGAGTTGGGTGCATTCACATTCCACATATGTGCAATTAGGGCAGCTGCAATCTGAAATTTAAGTGAAACATGCGAATAATGGCAATTTCTATGAAAACTCGCCTAAAATTATGTAAAAACTTTAGAAAAACGTCTGAACTATAGTACTTCCTTCAGTGTTCTTGAGTATTTATATTGCAGTTCTTAAGTGGAAGACAGTTTCATATTAGCATGCTTTATGTTATTTATTTAATTGTCCTTTATTTAATATTAATAAAGTTCGTTTATTATACACTGGTCGATCCACGGTTGCGTTTTCATGTGCGTATAAATAAACTAATGCTTCACCTTAAACTTATGCATAACTATATCTCTAAGATGTTGTCCTGAACCCCTTTCGAACCAGCTCTGAACCGATTTTATGTATGTGTTTTAGACATACAAAGTGAATTTCAGTTACAACAAAGGTTTCCATTTAACGTAAGGCTAACTATATTTGTAGTTTTGTTTTTTCATCTATGAATGTCGGACGTGGTGTTGCTGTCAGTTTGTTGAAAATCATCTTAAAGCAAAATTGATGCATCTCCGAATAGTGCATCATTTTCAGTTAAGTCTTTGAGTGTTCTATCTAATGGCGTTTGTATCTGTTGAATTTGGACTTAATCTAAATTTACTCTAGATTTGCCAAATTTTGTTGCCATATTGAACATTTTTAGGATAATCTGCAATTTTTGTGTTGTGTTCACCAATATATACACCAATTGAACTAAAATGTTTGCACCAACTTCTTTTTCTAAGTAGTTGTACACAACATTCACGACAATACGATTGCGACCATTTAATTATCGTTTTGCTGTCTTTCCGAAGCGTTTTGGAAAGTCTGAGTTAATCGACCTTTTGCATTCAATAAAATTTTTCAAATCTAACAATGGCCCTTTCTACAAACATTAACTTGCTGTTCTTCGTTTCCCCTCAAATAAATTGGCAAGAACTTTCTATTTTTATTTGACTTTGGAAGTAGGAGTATCTCAATGTCAATGATATAAATGCCATTGCATTTCGAAAGTACTGTTGAAATCGTGATTGTCATTATTTTGACAGATTTTTGTTGCAGAAAATGATGTCATCTGAAAGCTAGGATCAAATTTTCTTATATATCTTAAAAATAATATGTAAATTTATGGTCATTAACTATTTATGTTAA